GTTGTTGTTTTTTTTTTTTTTTTTTTTTTTTTTTTTTTGTGGTTGGACTCGATGATCTCAGAGGTCCCTTCCAACCACTAAGATTCTGTGATTCTGTGCTGCCCCCCTGCCTCCAGAGAGCCCGGCTCCCTGGGGAGAGAGGTGAGTGCAGCTTGTGTCTGCTGCTGGAACAGCAGGGGCCCTCGGTGCCAGAGAGGGAAAGGCAGTGGGTGTTGTCTGCCTGGACTTTGGTAAAGCCTTTGGCACCCTCTCCCATGGGATTCTCCTGGAGAAACTGGCTGCTCATGGCTTGGATGGGAGAAATCTCCCTGGGTGAAAAACTGGCTGGAGAGTGGTGGGGAGTGGAGTTCAAGCCAATCAGTGGCTGGTCACAGCGGTGTCCCCCAGGGCTCCGTGTTGGGGCCAGTTCTGTTTAATGTCTTTATCAATGATCTGGACAAGGAGATGGAGTGCACCCTCAGTCAGTTTGTAGAGGACACCAGGTTGGGTGGGATGTTGATCTGCTGGAGGGGAGGAGAGCTCTGCAGAGGGATCTGGCCAGGCTGGATGGATGGGGCAAGGCCAATGGGATGAAGTTCAACAGGGCCAGGGGCTGGGTCCATGGGACAAGAGGAAACGGCCTCAAGTTGCCCCAGGGGAGGTTTAGGATGGAGATTGGGAACAAATTCCTCCCCAAAAGGGCTGTGAAGCCTTGGCAGAGGCTGCCCAGGGCAGTGGTGGAGTCCCCATCCCTGGAGGGATTTCAAAGCCGGGCAGACGTGGTGCTGAGGGACATGGGTCAGTGGTGGGTTTGGCAGTGCTGGGTCCATGGTTGGACTTTATATGTTTAAAGGTCTTTTTCAGCCTGGATGATTCTGTGATGAGGTGTGGGGTAAGGACAGGAGGCTGATGCCAGCACCTCCTCCCTGGCTGGGGAGAGGTTGCCCGTGGCCACTGGCCTCACTGAGCCTGTGAGAGGGGCAGCACTGAGGCTGCTGTGGGGCAGGGACAGTGGGAATCCTGCCTGTCGGGGGGTGTGGTGACTTCTCACCTCTGTCATCTCAGCAGAAGCACCATCTGGCATCCTCAGCAGCGGTGCTGACCCCGTCCAGGCGTTGAGCTTCTCTGCAGACGAAGGTGAGGCAGGGGGTGGGCTGAGGGGAGACCCGGGGAGACCTTGGAGCCCCTTCCAGTCCCTCAAGGGGGGGGCTCCAGGAAAGCTGGGGAGGGACTCTGGATGAGGGAGGGGAGCCCTAGGAGGAGGGGGAAGGGTTGGACCCTGCAAGAGGGGAGATGGAGCTGAGCTGTGGGGAAGAACTTGTTTGGTGGGAGGGTGGGGAGAGCCTGGCCCAGGTTGGCCAGAGAAGCTGTGGCTGCCCCATCCCTGGAGGGGTTCAAGGGCAGGTTGGAGGGGGCTTGGAGCAACGTGGTGTGGTGGGAGGTGTCCCTGCCCAGGGCAGGGGGTGGCACTGGGGGGGCGTTTAAGCTCCCTTCAACCCAAACCCTTCTGTGAATTTATTAAGTTGGGCTCCCAGAGGCCTTTAAAGCACTTGACCCCTCTGTTGCCCCCCCAGGCGCTGCAGAACCAGATGGGGACGACAGCCGAGGGGACGCCATGCCTGGAGGAGCAGAGGATGATGTGGAAATGATCCCGGCTGCTCAGGAGCACAAAGAGGCACAGAGGGTAGGTGTGGGGACAGTGCCACCACCTCCTCCTGCCCCGGGGCCCCCCGTTTCCCCCCCTCACTGCCTAGTTCTGTCTCTGCCAGAGCGCGCCCCAGCCCAGGGGCTACGTGCTGCGGGAGCGAGCCCCTGCCGAGGACCCTGCACCCCACATCAAGGTAGGGGGGGCTCTCTGAGTCCGTGTGGGGCACTGCAGGAAGCTGGGGGACATCCCTACCCTCCCTGCAGATGGTGGGGTGACCCGCTGGGCCCGCTGGCTCCCGTGTGGCCACCCCAGGGTGGCACAGAGAGCTTTGCTGGGAGCTGAGCACCCCAGAGCTCTGCTGGTTTCACCTCTGCTCGCTCCTTCACCAGGAGGTGCTGGATCCGTGGCAGAGCCTTGACCCCTTTGCTGACTCCGAGGACAAACCGTTTAAGAAAGGTATTTGAGGTGTGGCTGGGGGAGAGGGGCTGCTCCCCGGGTTGTGGTTTGCCCTGGGTAGGCCAGGGACTGACTGCACAGGGACAGTGAGGCTCACCGTGCCAGACTCTTGTCCTTCAGTGTCCCCAGAGAAGGCTCCTGGGAGACCTTGGAGCCCCTTCCTGTCCCTAAGGGGGCTTCAGGAAAGCTGGGGAGGGACTCTGGATGAGGGAGGGGAGCCCTAGGAGGAGGGGGAAGGGTTTTAAGCCGAAAAAGGGGAGATTTAGGTGAGATCTTGGGAGGAAATTCATCACCCTGAGGGTGGTGAGAGCCTGGCCCAGGTTGGCCAGAGAAGCTGTGGCTGCCCCATCCCTGGAGGGGTTCAAGGGCAGGTTGGAGGGGGCTTGGAGCAACGTGGTGTGGTGGGAGGTGTCCCTGCCCAGGGCAGGGGGTGGCACTGGGGGGGCTTTGAGGTCCCTTCCCACCCAAACCAGTCAGTGATTCTGTGTCTGCCTCCAGGGAGGCCCTTCCTGGTGCCGCACGGCCTGGACGAGGTGGTCGGGGGCAAGAGGAAGAGGAAGGGACCGAGGAAACTCCAGGACTTCGTGAAATGGTTCTCTGCAGCCTGTGAGTGTCGTGGCCGTGGTGCTCCCCTGGGATCCCGCTCCCAGGGGGACCCTTCTCTGCCAGGAAACCCCTCGCCCAGACCCCTCTGTGGGTGCTCCGGTCCCGCAGCACCCGCTGTCTCTGCACCAGCAGCCTGGGTGTAACAGTGGGGGGGCTGTACTGCGAGGGGGGGCTGCAGGGAGGAAGAGGAGGGGTCCCTACAGGAGTCCCCCCACTCCCGTGCTGCCGTGGTGGCCTCGCTGTGCCCCTCGTTCCTGCTCCAGAGGGAGGAGGC